GGGAGCGAAGCAATTCGAACCACCCCCCCTCGCTGCGGGGCTGAGCTCCCTGAAGTGCCACTGTCCCCCCAGGGGGCAAGGAGCCCCAGTCTGAAGTGGGACGGGAGGCGAGCTCCCAGTCTGGTGCCCACCGCGTCCTCCCTGCTAAATTAATGGAACTTCACTCCTGTAAGTCCACCGCAAACACTGCAGATGGTGAATTTACCCGGTCTGCTCATCAGTACTAAAGACTTCAAAACAGTACGACTGGTGTGAACCTGCAAATCCGTGTTCACCAGCACACACAGTACTCTACTGTGAGACACACAGAGTGCAGGCTGGCCGTGGCGAGGCAAGTGCCCTCCCCACCGTTCTACTGCTCTGGCCTCCACTGGACATTTCTGTCCGTTAGGGCTGGAGAGACTGTACACCAGCTAAGTGCCTGCCTCGCAGAGTGCGGACCTAGGTCAATCCCTAGCACCCCACATGGTTACCATGAGCCCTGCGTATCACCAGGCACGGTCCAAACACCATTTCCCTCTGCCGTGACAGTAGTTACGCATATTTGTCAACACTAAGTATTGTCAGTTTTCTAAAAGTCTAGCCTTTGTAAGCAGATCTCTGGTGGTAGCTCACTGTGATTCTGATTTGCATTTCCCTAAGTGATTAATCCTGAGCATCTTTTTATGCGATTATCTGCTATTTGCTTTTCCCTTTGGTCAAGTGTCTGCTCCATTCTTTTGTCCATTAAAAAAAAAGTGGTATCTTCCTGTGTTGGTTATATTAGGGCCACAGCCGGCAGTGCTCGGGGGCTATTCCTGGCTCAGGACTCAGGTTCTAACTCAGGCTCCCGCATGCAGAGCGTGTGCTCAGTCCACTGGGCTCTCCCCGGCCCCTGGGCTGTCCTTTTATTGGTAAGAGTTTTCTATGTGTCCTGTATTCTATTTCTTCCTCAGCCATGTACATCATGGTAGGGTCTTTTGAGGGAGAAATTAGAAACCTACTACTTCTCTTCTAAACCACGAGCCCCCCGCACCGTACATGATGAAGGAATAGGAAAGAATTCAGCTTTCCATGGACAAGTATCTCAGTGCCCAGAGCGCCCAGCATCTGCTGAGACCCCCAAGGCTCTTTGTACCTCCCTACACCGGCCCAGCCCACATCAGGCTGGAAGGAAAGCTCCATCTGGGGAAGTGGTCATCCCATAAACAGCTTTTGGCCCCCCAGGCTCTTCTCCTCCTAAAGGCCTGTTCTGGTCGGCCAGGCTCCTGGAATGGTCAACAGTCGTCACACTTCACTGCTGGCCATTGTCCACCGGGGAAGGTAGGAGGCTCCCGGTCCATCCCTCAGTGAAAGAGCAAACAGTGGGCCCCTGCGGCTGCTCGGACATCAAAGTTGAGCAAACAGGCCTGCAGGCTCTGCCTCTTGGCCGCACATCCTGCAAAGGCCCTCCGAAGGGGCTTCCCCGAGGAGGTCTTGACTTTCAGCTTGTCACAGCGCACATCAAAGTTTGCACCACACACGAACTGGGCGCATGGGCTCGAATCAAGTTGCCCAAGAGCGGATACTCAGCTATTGTGCCCAGGTTTAATCCTGTGTTTTCCCAAGTAATTAAGCCTTCTTGCTTATGAACTTGTGACTAAGTAAAAGCACCACGGAGAGGTTGTAACATCAAAGTGACCTTCCACCGTCTGTCCGTGTTTGGTAAAATTGGATTTCTTTCCCTTCTGAAAGGAAAACTAATCGAATTTAGTGGAGGACTGGATAGATCTGCACGAGCCGGTGAAGGCTACGAGGAGCCACAGTGATCATCTGGGGACACCGTGGATAAGCCTCCTTGGGGCTGTGTTGGGAGCAAGGCAGCATGGAGACACGGAGACTCGGGCTGAACCAGGCCTGGGGTGGAGGGGCAGGCAGCAAGGGGTCAGTCCTAGGACTGCTCTTCTGGTGTCTACTATACCCAGGCCGCACTAGGATAGGCAAAAGAACTGTCAGAATCAAACATTTGTAGGTCTTTGGCAGAAAGGCCATCACGTGGCCGTGGTCCAAGTAAACTTCCCAAAGCAAAGACTGTGGCTGCTTATTCTTCAAGGATTCCCGCCCGCCCCCCAATGCAGTGCACACATCGGTACAGAACACAGCCTAGATTTTTAAAAGTTTGCTGAGGGGCTGGAGTGATAGTGGGTAGGGCATTTACCTTGCACGTGGCCCCACCAGGTTGGATTCCCCGCATCCCATATGCTCCCCCGAGCACCACCAGGAGTAATTCCTGAATGCATGAGCCAGGAATAACCCCTGTGCATCGCTAGGTGTGACCCAAAAAGCAATAAATAAATAAATAAATAAATAAAATTTTAAAAAATAAAAAGTTTGCTGGATGCTGAAAAAGGGATGTCAAATAAAGTTCTCTCCTGGAGAACCAAAACTCTCTGGATCCTCTTTCTTTGCTTTGCTCTTTGGGGAATGTCTACCTAGACAATACTCACTTCCAGGGTCTAGAGTGGGTAGGGCATTTGCCTGGCATGTGGCCGACCCGGGTTTGATTCCCAGCACTCCATATGATTGGTCACCTGAGTTCAACAGGAGTAATCATTGAGCACAGAGCCAGGAGTAACCCCTACCCCTGAGCATTGCTGGGTATGCACCCTGCCCCCTAAACAAAATTCAATTCCACATGACTTATAGTGAGAACAGCATGATTTATACATACCTGCGTGCGCACGCACACGCACACACACACACCCACACACACACACACACACACACATCTATCTCTAGGTAGAGGGAATTCAAGTAGCTGCTACTTTCTTCTCTATATTAACAAAAACAATGAACTTATTTTCGGAAAAGAAAATCTCTGGTTCAATCCTGATAAGATTAGCCTTGCTTTTACCGATATGATTTCTGATCTTAATCCAGTTTTAATTCTCTTGTGTACCTTTATATCTGTGTTTTAATTTAAGTAATAGCAAATCCTTTTTGGGGGGAATTAAAAGGAGGGAATAAACTATTAATTAAGTTTCCATGCATATTCTGAATACTGCTCAACGGTGCTGTAGTTGCTAGTGAAAAAAAAGAAAAATAGTATTCTTTCAACTATATTAAAAATAAAATAATAAATATATCCATAAATGAAAATTCACAAGAAGCTAATCCTCTTAAGGGGAGAGAGAATCGTGTTCTCCCTGAACGCCTAAGGACTGAACCATTAACCTGGCACTCACAGAGGCAATTGAGGGAAAATGATGGCGCCAGTTTCAGCATCTCTCCATTGAGCAATGGCTGTCAAGGTGCTAACTGACATGGGGGGAGGGAGGGTCTGTGGTTTCAGCCTTGAATCAAGGCCTGCTATTCCACTACCTTCCCTTCATCCAAATGTGATTCAGAGACAGCGACATTTCAGGTACGGCCAGGGCGATGCCAGAGGGATGTGGTGATACCATACTGAGTACCAGCAAGCTTCCAGGGAGGAGAAACTTGCAGTTCAATGGAATTGCTTTGGCTTTGATAGTCCTCCAAGACCACCTCCTTGGTGCCTCACCTACTTGGCTGTGACCAGCTGCTGCTGGCATTCCTTCACCTGGCTGCATTTTCCCTCTCGCCCAGAGCACTTCTTACCTTCTACTATATTAAGTTTATTGCCCGTCACTGCCTCTCTCTGAGGGAACACTGCCAGGACAGGTATAAGCTTCCTGAGGGTGGGGAACTCTGTCTACACACCACAGTGCCAGGCACAGGTAAGTACCCTGCTAATGCAACACAGTAAGTCCAAGTGGAGATGGTGCTATGTAACGTGGAATAAAATCTGTCCTCCCTGGACACTAAAAGGAAGAGGGCGTAGAATGACCCATCATTCATCTAGGAACTACAGTATGTCACACAAGTCAACACTTTCACTTTGCTCAAGGAACATCACTGATTGGCTAATGACCCTGAATAAAGACAGAGCAGTCAGTTAAACCAACACCTCATTAAACTCGGAGAGGAGCGTCCCCAAAGCACAGCCCTAGCCCACAATACTTGCCAGTACAGGCTCTTTCCTTTTTGGTCTCCTTAACACTGGAAATAAACCAACGACCTAAGCCTCTACCCTGTTATTGCTCTCATTGCACTTTCTTTACCAGATGATGTGCTTGGGGGTCACAGGAGTAATTAAGGAACAGTGCAGTAAAAACAAGTTGATGAGAGAGTATTGAGACTGCGCTCTAGTCTGGCAGAAGGGGGTCTGCACTGAGGCACAGAAACACACACCGATCCTGCAGAGGGGCTCCAGCTGTTTGGGTTCCCCCCTTTCCTCAACTGTAAATGAGAACAGTGTGTACTTTCGGGGGTGGCTGTGAAAATTTGAGGTTACTTTTTGGGTTTGGAAGCCACAACTAGTAGTGCTCAGGAGCTACTCCAAACTCAGTGCTCTGGGGCTGGCTCCCAAAGGTCAGGGGGAAGGAAGGAGGGTGGTGATTATGCAGGGCCAGTGATTGAACCCAGGGCTCCCTCAGGCAGAGCACATGCTCAAGAGAGCAGAAAAGAGCAAAATCTTAAAGGGAGGGAGAGAACTACCCTCCATCTCACACACACACACACACACACACACACACACACACACACACACACCCCAAGGTCTTCACTGGGCGGTGTTTTTTCAGTTTCCACCTAAGATACAATCCAGTGAAGTCCTTGATGGGTCAATTCATGTAACACAGCTCACACATGTTCCCTTGACCCTTTACAACAGCTGCCTCAAGAATGAAAATGACTTCACGAAGGTGACGAAGCCTGTGACAGCCGGAGCTGGGACCCAAAGCCTGGAGCACTTTGGTACCGTCCACTGCACCAGGCGTAGCCCAGTTCCTCAGGCCAAGGCCCCCCTCCCTGACTCTGGGGAACATGGGGGGGGCAAGCAGACAAGGACAAGGTTTTCAGAGCACGGTCTGCCAGGATGGCACAGAGCCGTGTGTGTGTGTGTGTGTGTGTGTGTGTGTGTGTGCCTGTGTTGGGGGTGGGGGGGATGGGGTGTCTCTCACCTGTCATTTCGGCTGATGGCTGCCACCATGAGTGCCGTCCAGCCAAGTTTGTGCCTCGCGTTGACATTCGCGCCTTCTGACAACAGCCTGGAGAGACAAAGAGGAACAATTTCAGTGGAAAGCTCTCCGTGAAGGTACAAGTAAAGAAAAAGGAGCGTCACATAACAGGCAGGCGCCCAAGCAGGTCCCCAGCAGCCGCTCCCACACCCATAGTCCACACACACACCCAGTGTAAACTGTAACTCCAGCCGCACTGCCCTGTTAAGAATTCTGGATTTTCTGGCGTGGATGTGGGGAGAAAGAAACTCTCCCTCACTGCTGGTGGGAATGCCGACTGGGTCAGCCCTTTTGGAAACAGTATGGACGCTTCTCAAAAAATTAGGAATTGATGGGGGTATGGTGCCGCCAGCAGGTCAACCTGTACCTGTGAGGCGAGTGCATCAGCAGCCTGATGACGCCTTCAGACTTCCAGATACCCCAAAATTGCTGCTGTGTCTTTGGCCAGACCTCAAAAACTTGGGGCAAAGTTCACCAACAAAGTAAACGGCCAAAAGTTAGGTATGTGGGAGACACTCACACAAACCACCTCAGGCTCAGCTATATAATTGGAGGCATGGCCTCTCTGGTTCCTGATCGAACTGCTTAATGGCCATGATCCCGGAGACTCAGAGACAAATCTCGGAACCCAGCAGCTTTTGGCAGGGATGCATTCGGTCCCTGCAATGGGTTACCGGCGCCAGACCACCCCACGGGGGAAAGGGTGCTGTCCCTCCACCTGCTCCCACTTGGCGACTCGGTGGCCACCATCCGCCAGAGGCCATTGGACAGTCAGGTCTGGGCCCACAGTGATGAGACACATGTGGCCTCATGGGATGGGGGTGGAGCCAGCCCTTTCCTACCCGCCCCAACGAGACCCCAAGTTGCTGCCCACGAATGGCCTCTCTGGCTCCTGATCAAGCTGCTTAACGGCCATGATCCCAGAGACTCAAAAGCAAATCTTAGAACCCAGCAGCTTTTGGCAGAAATGTGCCCAGACCCCGCAGCAGGTTACTGTCGCCGGACCACCACAGGGGGGAAAGGGTGCTGTCCCTCTGCCTGCTCCCCCTTGGCGTCTCGGTGACTGCCATCCTCCAGAGGCCATTGGACAGTCAGGTTTGGGCCCACAGTGACGAGACACACGGGGCCTCGCAGGATGGGGATGGAGCTGGCCCTTTCCTCCATGCCCCAACAAGACCCCGAGTCACCATCCACAAACGGCTCCTGATCAAGCTGCTTAATGGACATGATCCAAGAGACTCAGGAACAAATCTTGGAACCCAGCAGGTTACGGCAGAAATCCTTCCAGATTTAATTGTTAAAATTTTGGAACACCAAAATTGCGCGGCCACTACTGCAGCCGCATGACATCTTAAGTTATTCATAACCAGCAATAGTAAACAAATTGTCTATGGTTGCCTTTTTGGTAGATCTGAGTGTTGGGGTAAAATTCCAAATAATAATGGTGGGTCTGGTGTCAAAATATTGAATGTAATCAAAGTAGAGAGAGAGTAATGTGGAAATCATCTGCCCCACAGGTAGGGGGAGGGTGTGGGATGGAGGATATAATGGGGTTTTTGGTAAATGGGCACTGGTTAAGGGACAGGTGTTTCATTGTATGACCGAGACTTAAACCCGAAAGCTTTGTAACTGCTCTCACAGTAAATCAATAAATAAAATTATAAAAAAAAGGGGGAAAAAAGTAAGGTGGAGTTCATGTCCAATTCAATCAGCCTAGTCAATGGATGAAAAAATAGCAATACTCCAACATTTAAAAAAAATTTAGTTTTGTATTAAGATTGTGAAAGTGGGATTAAAAAAAAATTAGAAATTGAGCTCCCATTTGACCCAGCAACACCACTTCTGTGAATATATTCCAGAGAAGCAAAAAGGTATAGTCAAAATGACACTGCACTTGTACGTTAACTATTTACAATCGACAGAATCTGGAAAAAAACCCGAGTGCCTGAGTACTGATGGCTGATTGAAAAAACTTTGGTACATCTACATAATGGAATACTATGCAGCTGTTAGAAAAGATGAAGTCATGAAATTTGGATATAAGTGGATCAATATGGAAAGTATCATGTTGAGGGGCTGGAAAGGTAGCACAGTGGGTAGAGCATTTGCCTTGCACGCAGCCAACCCGGGTTCGATTCCCAGCATCCCATATGGTCCCCCGAGCACTGCCAGGAGTGATTCCTGAGTGCAGAGCCAGGAGTAACCCCTGAGCATCACCAGGTGTGACCTAAAAAGCAAAAAAAAAAAAAAAAAAGTATCATGTTGAGTGAAATGGGTCAGAAAGAGAGGGACAGACATAGAAAGATTGCACTCGTTTGTGGAATATAAAGTAACAGAATGGTAGACTAACAGCCAAGAATAGTAGAGATATGCACCAGGAGGATTACTCCATGGCTTGGAAGCCAGCCTCACATGCTGAAGAGAAAAGCAGCAAAGATAGAGAAGGGACCACGAAGTAAAGGGTGCTTGGAGGGCCTGCTCGGGATGGGAGATGCAATCTGAAAACAGACTATAGACTGAACATGATGGCCACTTGATACCTCTATTGCAAACCATAACACCCAAAAGGAGAGACAGAGAGAGCAAAAGGGTATGACCTGCTACAGAAGCAGGGTGAGGTGGGGGTTGGAGTGGGGGTGGGGGAAGGCACACTGGGATCACTGGTGGTGGAGAGTGGGCACTGGTGGAGGGATGGGTACTCTATCATTGTATGACGGAAACATAACCATAAAAGTTTGTAAATCTGTAATTGTACCTCACGGGGATCCATTTAAAACAATAAATGAAATTTTAAAAAAAAATTCTGGATTTTTCTGGAGCCCACTGCTGCATTTGCAGCCATGGAACATCTCCAATATCTACAACACCGACATGCCAGACTATATGGATGGGATGAAATGCAGAAACCCAACAATCTTGACCAACAAACACGATCACAGAAGGCTAATTTGCAACAACAGCTTAGTAAACCCTCACACAAGGACTTAATATCCCCTTGGTGAAATACAACGATTTCCACAAATTTTCAACAGAAACATTTTGTGATCATTTCATTAGTCATTTAGTGGTAACGAGCAATATAAAATAAATTACTGCTAGGGGGGCAGGCTTGAAGGGTGGTTGGGAAAATGGAGACGGTGGAGGGAAGGTGACAGTGGTGGCGGGACTGGGGTTGGAATATTGAATATCTGTAACAAATCATCACGAACAACTTTGTAAACCATGGTGGTAAAATAAGGTGGTGAAAACATTTCAAGAACTTAAAAACAACAGGGGAGGCTTAAAGAGCGTAATAGAGATCGTGGGGGCCTAAGCTCTCTCCAGGCCCCTCCTGCCACTCCCCAACACCCCACCTCAGCCTTCTCCCATCCCTGCAGTGGGCCTGCCCCCTCCCTGCTGTTCCTAGAGGAGGAACTGAAGCTCCTCCCCACCCCAGTACCGGACACTCCCATCCCTGTCCCCTAGGTCCAGCCTAGGCCCAGAACACTCTCTTTCGCCTCCTGACTTACTCATTCCAATCTTTCTGTTCTTTTCTTTTTGTGCTGGGCGGTAGGGAGGGGTACTTGGGCTACACCTGTCAGTGTTGAGGGATCACTCCTGGCTCAGTGCTCAGGGATCACTCCTGGCGGTGCTCGGGGATCTAATGCAGGCTGGCCACGAGCAGGGCAAGCTCTGTTCCTGCTGCACTGCCTCTCAGGCCCCTAATTCCACTTTCACCTTCTCTGGGGCTGCGCGCTCTCGCTAGAAGGCTCCCAGATGCACCGGCTCCCAGATCTCCCCTTGAACCACCCCAGGGCTAAGCACTGAATGCTGCAGCGTTTCTTACCTAGGTCACTCCCAGGGTACTTAAGGATCGCACATCTCCAGTTTATCTATGAGGAACTGTTAAAAATCTGGAATCCTTGAATCCAAGGATGTTAGGAAAGCTGGATGAGAGGAGCCTGACTGCAAATTTGAGATCTGGCACATGACAGAGAGGCACTATATCAAATACAGTCGCTGGAGCGCTGGAAAGAGAGTACAGTGGATAGGGAATCTACCTTGCATGCAGCCGGATTTGATCCCTAGCACCTATGGTCTCCTGAGCGCATCAGGAGTGATCCCTGAGTGCAGAGCTACGAGTAAATCTTACACACGGCTGGGTATGGCCCCAAATCAAACATAAACAAAGTATTTCATTGTTGGATAAGTTGTTGGCCTATATTTTGGTCTGTATTTTGGGGTGGTTGGGCCACACGTGGCTATTCTCAGCACTCCATAGTTGCTGAGGATCTAACCTGGGTTGGTCATATGTGAGGCAAACATTCTACAGAGAGATACTCTGGTTCCATGGGGTATACGCTTTAAAAAAAAACCCTGAAAACCCTGAATAATGGATATCAGGCACAGGGAGCCCGGGGAGTGAGGAGAACTGCCATCCTGTACTGGGGACCCACCGCAGGGACAGGCCTCAGAGCTTTCCATGCATGCTTCTCCTTTATCCTTTGTTTGTCCATAAGGGGCTGACGTGTCCCTCAAGGACAAGGAACTGGCTCAGTGAAGTGAAATGCGGCTCTGAAGGCCACAAACTACTCAAGAGCCAGGACAGAGGCTGGACCCAAGGTCCAGAGTGACAGCCTGAACACTTCTCACCTCTGTCCTCCTTCCCCAGCCACGGAACTGGCTCCAGGCAAACATGAAAGATAAGAAGCTAAACCTATTTCGACCAGGAATAGGCTAATGTACGGGGTCCTGTGCTGAACATGGGAGAGGGGTGAGGAGAAGGCCCCGGGTCTGCCTGAGGGAAGAAGACTGTTCAGTCGTGGGGGGATGGGGGCTCAGGACGGCAGGAAACCGGAGCCTGTAAGTATGGGCTGCAGGTCTGCAAACGGGGACCCTTCAAGTCAAGACACTTCACCAATAAGCATGATCTTCTTTTCTCTGGGGGGAGGGGACTCCCAAGTGGTGCTCAGGAGGTCGGGGAGCCCCATGAGTGATTTTTGGTCATGTGGACTGGCAGTTCAATGCAAGGGCCAGAGGACGTGATGGTG